TTTTTTTTTTTGAAAAAAAAAATCTTGTTTTAGCTATTTTGTTAATTCTTACTCCTTTTTATTTTTCTGTTTAATTGTAATTGCCCCACCGCCATCGCCAGGCTCTGAAGATTTTAGATTCGAAGATATGCCTAACCGCCATCATGCTACAAAATTCTTAGGGCTGGTGATTGTAAAGGATTTGTTTGAGAAGATGAAGTTCAGAATTTGCTAATAATTTGCTACAATTTCTTTTTCTTTTTTTTTTGGGACAAACTTATGCCAAGAACACGGTTCTTGATACTCTTGTTAACTCTAGAATGCATTAGTTTGTAGCTAATTTAGTTATAGATATTTGGAAGTTGGTCTAGCCATCGAAGATTTTGGATATGGGTTTAAAATAGGATGATGAAATTTGGAAGAGTTCATCGCGCAAGCTGGAAAAGGGGAGAGGAGGAGGGCAGAGCGGGGAAGGGAGAGTGTTTTTTATTTTTTTCTTCTTTTTAAAAAAAAAAAAAAAATTGTTTAATCATGTGCATTTTGAGTTTCAATATACAACATTTCTTTAATCTAAGGAGACGTTTAGTTCGTGAATTAGAATCATGATATTAGAATTATTTTCGATTTACGTGTATTTTTTGTGAGAAAAAATACTGTAACGAATCATGAACCATGATTCGAATCGGGGTACGAATCCCCCAATCAAACAACCCCTAAACCATTCAAAAGTAATCTGATGGTTTATAAATTCTCGAGAAAAAGTACAACCCTACCATAAATTTTCTTTATTTTTCAATTCAAAAAAGAAAGAAAGTAAGAAAGAAAAATATTAAACACATTTAAAACTCTGAGAGCTCGTTTGGTTAATGAATTAGAACCATGAAATTAGAATTATTTTTTATTTATATGCGTTTTTATGAGAGAAAATACTATAACAAACTATGAATTATAATTCGAATCAGAAAACGAATCTTTCAACCAAACAGACTCACAATCTAAAATAATTTTGTATTTCAAATTATCTTAAAAATTATATTATATATACTTTTTTTAATTTAATGTAATTTTCTTCTAACCATTCAGGGCAGATAGTCCTTAAAAAAAAAATAATCTAAAGCTTAAACAATTCCATGCTGTTGTTCAAAGCAGTACAAAAGTGAAAAAACGTCAAAGTTCGCAGCTTTCTTCTCTCTCTCCTGAATCCTGACAATTAGTCCTCAATAAAATCGTTGTCTTTCTCAAGGTAATGTCAAACTAATCAAACAAACATAAAAAAACGACAACCAAAACCATTTTCATTTTCCATTTCCCACTTTCTAACGTCTCTTCTTCAATCACTCCGATTCTTCTTTTTTTAACGAATCCGAATTCTCCAGAATCGATCCTTGTTCCGATCGGCTACACTCCGATCCACCGGAATCCTCTTCGAAGGCGAAAGCAGAGCCGTCGATTCTAGGTTTTCTCCGAGGTGAGATTTTATGAGTTTTTCGATCTTCTCCGATGATAAATGGCGAGGGAACTGGTAAGATTCTCTCCGGAATCGCCCCACCCGATCCGTTCGATCAGAAATCGGACGACGACGGTGGCGCCGGCGCCGGCGATGCAACGCCGTCTCGGTACTCGTCGTGCGGCGAGTCCGAGTTCGAGCGATACTGCAGCGCGAACTCAGCCATGGGCACGCCGAGCATGTGCAGCACGATCACCGTCTTCAACGATTTCCCGGAGCTGGAGTTCGGCTCCGGGAGGAATTTAGGGTTAGGGTTTGGGGACGACGGTGGCGGGTTGGAGAATTTCAGTTTGGGAGGGAAAATCGAGAGGAATCGGGAAGAAACGAAGCGTTTGAGCGATGACGGAGTTGATCGGGTTGTTCGTGGGCAAAATTCGAGTGTGAATTATGGGTCTAGTGGGCTTGAAATGTATGGCGGTGATGAGCTCGATGATTTTGGAGCTCCTAACGTGAATGAATTGATGTCTTGGAAGGTTGATCACAAGTCTTCACCTTTGAAAGGGATTTCGGGGTTTGATAATGGTTCAGATAAAGGTGATAGTGTTGAAGATGATCAAGAAGTGGTAGGAAAAAGTAGTGTTGTGCAAATGGGTACTCAAGAAAGTAATGGTTCTCAAGTTTTACCAGAGGTTGACGAATGTGGTTCGAATCCGATTGGCGGTGGAGAAGAGAGGCAGGAAGATGGGACCTCATCTCGAGATGAGCATTCAGAGAGTGGGGATTCAATGTACCGTTATGGTACAGATGATGAGGGTAAAAATGTTGATGTCAATTACTATAAGAATGTGCATTATTCTCAGGAAGCAAAAACAAAGAACGAGAACCCATTGCTGATTAACTCATCCGTGGCCTTTGGTTCGGATGATTGGGATGATTTTGAGCAAGGAAGTGAACTAGCTTCAGTTTCCTTTATCGTGAGTGCTTCCGAGAATCGGAAAGAAAAGAATGTTGAAGCTGAAAAGGAAGTTTCGGGTTTTACTCCTTTGGCTTCAGTTGGGTTTCCGAGTACTTGTCAAATTGAGGAAGCAAAATGTGTCAACGATATGCCCGGATCCAGAAATCAAGTTGAAGGAGGTGATAAATTGGATGAATTAGAGGAAGTAGAAGATGTGAAGGACATCCCTGTGGCTAGTTATCAAGTTCAAGGCAGTAGTGATTTGTTTGAATTTACCAAAAGTTCTTTTACCACGCCACCTGTTTTGTCTAAGGTTGATGAACCAGAGAACGAAGATATAAGCCCATATACTGAGAATCACGTTCGAGGCGACGTCTGCAATATCGAGCTGGATCCTCTGGCAGAAAAACTTCCTGAAAAAACAGGTTTCAATGATATTAATGATGGTCTGCCTTTGGTGCACCAAAAAGTGAATACTGAGGAGGCGATTAACGTTACTGCTAGTATAGTTTATGAAAACCTAGCCTTGGGGAACTCAAAAATAAAATTGGACCGCCTTGGTGACTCATCAACTAACCAAATAAACTCACGTTCAACTGTCTTTTCTGGAAAGACGAGGTTAGATTTGCTTGACGACTCAAAGCCAAAGACAGACCCTTCAACTTTCAATAATAATATGAGGAAGAATCCTCATGTTTCAGAAGATCCGGCAGGAGTCCATCCTGCACCTGTAAAGGTCAGTCTTTGCCTAAATATTACTTATGATTTAGTTTCCTGACTGACTAAATCACAAAAACTTGGATTCGGTCTCATGAAGTTTGTTAGTCTAGATCATATGTCCACTTTCTTCTATGAGGTGGCTCTTTGAACTTCCAAGTTGATTTAAAGTTGTCCATGTCTCATTTATTTACGTTTCAAATATTGCAGACAGATGCTCTTGAGATAAATGAATTCTATGATGAGGTTGTCCTTGAAATGGAGGAAATTTTATTGGCCTCCAGCGAGTCTCCAGGGGCTAGGTTCCCTCACAGTAACAGGGCAATACAATCGCAACCATCTTTACCCTTAAGAGATGGCGGATCTTCTGCTTCTACTTCTGGTATGGATGAAGCGTACCCATTTGTTCAGCACCCGCTGAGAATCGATGGGATTGAGGTGGTAGGTGCAAGGCAGAAGAAAGGAGATGTCTCATTTAGTGAAAGACTTGTTGGAGTGAAGGAATACACTGTGTACAAAATAAGAGTGTGGAGTGGCAACGATGAATGGGAAGTTGAACGCCGATATCGTGATTTCTTTACTCTCTATCGCCGGTTGAAAACATTATTTACTAACCAGGGTTTGGTTCTCCCCTCTCCATGGGCAACTGTAGAAAAGGAATCTAGAAAGATTTTTGGAAATGCATCACCAACTGTTATTGCAGAGAGGAGTGTTCTTATTCAAGATTGTTTGCGATCCATTCTTCATCCCAGGATCTTCACCACTTCTCCAAGTGCATTGATTTGGTTTCTGTGCCCTCAAGATTCAGTTCCCAGCTCCCTTGGGTCAAATTCAGTGGTTCCTCAATCTATTTCCCGAGGAAGTAGAGAAAACATTTCCACATTGGGGAAGACTATATCCCTTATTGTTGAAATCCAACCATACAAATCTACGAAGCAGATGCTAGAAGCACAGCATTATACTTGTGCTGGATGCTACAAACATTTTGATGATGGAAAGACTCTGATACGAGACTTTGCACAAACACTCGGATGGGGAAAGCCTCGACTTTGTGAATACACCGGTCAATTATTTTGCTCTTCATGCCATACAAATGAAACTGCAGTTTTACCAGCGAGAGTATTGCATAACTGGGATTTTACTCAATATCCAGTTTCTCAGTTGGCTAAATCATATTTGGATTCCATATATGACCAGGTAACTAAATATTGGCATCTTCTTTGATTTCTATGGCACATCTAAGTACGTTGTTGATTTGAAATTACTTTTTTTAGTGATATGATAATCTAATACGTTTAACTAAGATTACATCAATAAGAAGTAGCATCTTACTTTTAACTAAGAGAAATCATTCCTAGTTATTTTTCTTTCTTGCAGCCCATGCTTTGCGTCAGTGCAGTTAATCCGTTCCTCTTCACAAAGGTCCCGGCTCTGCATCACGTTATGGGTGTCAGAAGGAAAATAGGAATTATACTTTCATATGTTCGCTGCTCATTCCGTGAATCTATCAACAGAGGACTAGGGTCCCGAAGATATCTTCTTGAAAGCAATGATTTTTTCGCTCTCCGAGACCTCATTGATCTTTCAAAAGGCGCGTTTGCAGGTTGGTACTTGGAAAATGAATTAAGATATTATGTACCTGTAATTTTCCTGACTCAATACAGACTCTGATACGTGTCTTTCATTCGGCAGCACTACCTGTTATGGTGGAAACTGTCCTGAAGAAAATCGTGGAGCATATAACAGATCAATGTCTCATATGTTGTGATGTGGGAGTTCCATGCAATGCTCGGCAAGCTTGCAATGATCCATCTTCTCTGATTTTCCCTTTCCAGGTAGATATTCTAATAGTGTCCGTGAATCTCCAGAACATGGCTACTTATTTTTCTCTTAAAAAAGAAAAATCTCAATTGATCATGAGTTTTAGAAAGAAAGAGCTTTCCAAATTAATTGAAATCGGATTTTGAAACCAAAGTGTTACATTTTCATTGCACGAGAATCACTTGGATAAATGCAGTACTTTGAGCCAATAAAGTGTACTGCAGTTAACTCAATACACAACCCAGAGGCAGTTGCTTCTTAATCATAAAGCACCTGCATAAATTTCTTTATTAAATAGGAAATGTCTTTATGAGATCATAAAGTAGGCGGATTAGAAGAAATCCAGTGAAATGTTTAAACTGAGTTCCCTGAATGAACTTGGGTAAGGTAGATACATTTGGCCCGTTTGGTTCATGGGTTCAAGTTAGTGATTTTGATTCTGAATTCAAAATTTTTGAGATAACACATTGACGAGAACTTTTTTTGATTCAAATTTTTTGTGGGAGAGCATAATCAGAATCATGGGTTCAAGTTAGCCCATTATGATTTAACCAATCAAGTCAAACATTCATTTTCATACTTTCTTGATATAATTGATTGGCTGGCATATCAGTTATCTGACTAGAAAAACTTTTAGCAGGAAGGTGATGTGGGAAAATGTGTCTCTTGCGAATCGGTGTTCCACAAACTTTGCTTCAAAAAGCTCACAGAGTGTCCTTGCGGAGCACATCTCGGGGCTGACGACAGAAGGCGACTCGCTACGAGAGTAGACTTGCTTGGGAAGGGATTGAGTTCTGGTTTAAGTGTTGGATTTCTATCTGCATTGTTTACAAAAGCGAAGCCCGATAAGATTGGAGAGCATAAAGACGATGACAATGTCATATTAATGGGTTCTTTGCCAAGCACTTCCTTATGATATGCCTTGCATTGGCAATGCCATTGTATCATATGTAATTTTGGCTTGATTTGAAGAGTGAAGATTCATTTGTTGCAACTTTCGGACATTTTTTTAGCTCAATAATTAGGCACTGGCCAAGATGATATTCAGGATTTTTTTTTTCTTGATTGGTCATTCTTTGTAAAATAAAAAGATATAAGTTTTGGCTGTGTTCTTCACTTCAATTCTCTCTCGTTAAATGTGATTGTTATAAAGATCATATTTCTGTCCTATCGTGGCTCTGAAACATGAAATAAAAGAAGGAAAACAACAAAAGAACGACACATAACAAAAAACGACAAATAAAAGTTTTTTTTTTTAAAAAAATGAACATGGATAAAAATCAGACCCAAACGAAAACTTTCGTTCATTGAAAGCGACAGCCGACAGAAGGTTAAAAACGACAGTAACAAAAGTGACAAAAAATAAAAGGGGTGAAAACGTTTTGGTACTCTTTGTATTCTGTTTAATAATGTTAAAATGCTACCATCACTTAAAAAAAAAAAAAAAATCTTTCAGTACATTAAGATCTTCAAATATCCTAGAAATAATAAAGTAGGGCTTCTAACTATAAATAGCTAGCTAGCGCGCTAGCGTTTTCCCTTACTATACAAGGGGCTGCTAGTTGTAGCGCGCAGTGTACCAGTGAATAGGAAAAGCGGATTGAGATTACTATTGACGGATGCAGGTTGAGGGAGTTTTGAGACATAAAAATTATATTCTAGCATTCTAGAAGTACAATAAACTAATAATTAAAAATAATTTAAAAATAATTTAAAACATTTAAAATTAAAAATATAGAATAAGTTAAAATGTTTTCAAAAAATATTTTTAAAATTATTAGTTTCTATTTAATTAATGAAAATGACAGTTTGAACATTATGATCCGTTTATTTCACCGATTTGAGTTTAGAATTCAAGTTTTGTTACAGTAAAAAGCTCTCAGAAACAGTTATGTCTAACTTTTTTATTACAGTAAAAAGCTCTCACATAAAGTCATATCTTAACTCAAATTAAAAACTCGAATCAGCGAACTAAACGGACCTTATATGTCTTAAAAATTGACTTTAGAATACCAAAACAAAAGAACGTTTCTTTAAAAACAAAAATACCATTTTAATATTATTAAAAATATAGGACATCTACGAGATGTTTTATTATATTAGAGGGTATTAAATTGATTTTATCCCAAAATAAGAAAAAAAAAACTACAGGAGATAGAGAAACGACAAGAAAACAATGGGGTTGGACACATTATAATAAGCGCTAAAAAAAGCAAGAAAAACAAATCAAAGGACGAGAGAGTAACGAACGAAAAGAAAAACACCAAAGTGTCCGAGACTCAAAATAACGACAAACCCACTGAAAAACGACAGCAAAACCGACACAAATATAAAGAAAAGACGAGGGATGGGAAACGACATAAAAAGAAGGCAGTTGCTATAAAAGCATCAGAAGCGCCAGAACGACACTCAAGTAAAGGAACGACAGATACATTAAAACAACAAACTAAAGTACAAATTAAAATATCTTAAAAAAGTAAAACTACTAATACTCCATTTGTTTCGAGGGTTCCGGCTTAGTTTAAGATCATAGTTCTTGATTCGCTATAGTATTTTTCTCTTACAAAAAATTTAAATTTCAAAAATCAGAATCATAAACTAAAACGTCACCTAAATTAAAAACGAGAGGACTGAAGACAGATAAATTTAAGAACATATCAGAAATGAAAACGGACGCACTTTTCAAAGAACCATAAAAAAGGGAAAAGAATGGAACGAGAGAAACTTGAGAAACGACAAAGAAGTGACGCATAAAGGAGAGTCGGTAAAAAGGGAAGAAAAACGACATGCTCATTCCACATAACAACAAATAAAACGACAATAAGATGAAAATAAAAGCAAAGAGAAGTTAAGAAACAAGAAGAAAAGGCAGATTGAAAAACGAATTAAAACAAGATGACAACACGTAAGGAAACGACATGAAAATAGAAAACGACAGGAACATGGAGACGACAACAAGATGACGAACACATAATCGAACGACAAACGACAAAAATCAATTCTGGTGTTTCTGGTTATCGAATAGTCGCTTCCTCAGCTTTATGTTTCTCTTTTTGGCGTGTTTTTCGCAAACGACGAAAAATAAATTATGCAACCAACATAAGGAACGACAATAGATTTTAGAAAATGACAATACTTTGTTTAAGACAGACTTTTAAACGATTTGAGACGAAGTTTAGACAAGAATTGAAAATCGAAACAAAAACGACAGCACATCAACAAACAATAGGCAAAGAAAAGAACGACGGGAACAATTGAAAACAACAAAATTAAAGAAAACGGCATAAAAGTACAAAAACAACGGCAAAAGTAGGGCTGTAAGAAATCACCCCGAACCCGAAGAACCCGACCAAGCCGAGCCGACCCTACTCGAAAATCACGGGTTTCCAATTTTTTATTTAATTTTCAGTTTTAATTATGCCTAACTCGTACTACGCGGGTAGGGGCGCGGGGTAGGGTTACATGAACCTGAAGTAACCCTACCCGGCTGAACATGTTCAAAGTAGATAAAACAATGTCCAAAACTTCAAATTCTTACTTTCATAAGTTTATGGACTTTATGCATTTAAACTGTTAACTTATTTATGTTTTGGATTCACGGTTTGTGTAAAAAATGATTGTATGCCATAGTTGTTGAATTAGGACATTCTTTATTTATATTGGAAGTGTTTGATTTCAAAGTGAGTTTTAATTGTTCACCTTGCATTTAGACCCCCTCTTGAAGGAAAGACATGTTCTGTTTGATAATGATTTCTTCTGTAACAAGCACAGATTAATTGACTAAAAAGTGATCATGTGGTCCTTGAGATCACCAACCCGAGTAACCCGATCTTACCCTAGGTCACCTAAAAGGTTACGGGTTTGTAGACTTAAAAGAGTGTGCGGCCTAAAATTTTCTCAACCCGCACTGGTCGGGTAGGCTCAATTTTTTGGCTCAACCCTACCCTACCCGGCCGATTTACACCCCTAGGCAAAAGCATTAGAAGATGAAAAACACATGACAAAACATCTATAAAATGACAAAATAGAGAGCGGACGGACACCGGAAAAAATAAAATTGAAAGAGAAAACGGCAGAAAAGTACAATAATTTGTAAACGACACTCATAAGTTAGAATGGTAGGAGAAAATGGCAGGAGTATAGAAAAACAACAACAAAACTTAAATGAGGATAAACGATAACAAGGAAGACAGACATTTAGAAACCACGATAAAAGAAAACGATCATAAAAGACAAAAGGAAGAAACATTAAAAAAAAATTGCTAAAAAAAATTGATAGTTAAAAAACTTCCTTTTTGATTTATTAGGATGAAATGTTCCACTTTATATTTTCAGAAATATTGCAATCCTCTATGTTTTACGATTACAATAAAACCCTCCAATGTAGCGCGGATTCGTTGATGGACACCCTTAAAATTTTTCTAAATGGTGAAAGTACCTCTATTTATTTTTTAACCAAAACACGTTAGAAAAAGAGATTTTTAATGTCAATTGCAAAACACAGGAAAGGGTTAAAATATTTATGAAAATATATCGATAAAATATGGAGAAAGCTTTTGTTATTAAATACACACACACACACACACACACATATATATATATATTATCTTGACAATTGTATGATAAAGTTACAACAATGATAAGAAAGTAGAAAGTAGAGATAAAATTATCCAAGAACAACGAGGAGTTGTCGTCGTTTTTTGAATATTTCTGTCCTTTCTTGTTGGTGTTACCGTTGTTGTTGTTGTTGTTGTTTTTTTTAATCCCTTTTGATTAGCGGGAAAAAAAAACGACAGTAAACACCAACCAAGAAAAGACAGAAACATTCAAGAAAGGAAGACAACTAGAAAACGACAGCCAATGGAACCTCCTAAGTCCCAAGCTCCCTGGGATTTGTTGCTTACACACAACTAAAGAATTCCATTGCATTTTTTTTTTGGAAAAATTATTTATTTAGGGGGCCTAAGATAACAAAGGAAAAAGTACCAAAATATCAACAACAACAAAAAATAGTCGTTATCGGTGACTCAATGGTTTTTATTAGGAAGCATGAGAAATAGTAGTTGTTCTGTTGCTGTCGAGTCTTTTCCAAGCAAATGGAAACGGCTATTCGAGTTACAATAAAAAGTTCAGTCACATATAACTTTTTAATTATAGTAAAAAATTCTCATGTAAACTCGAATTAAAAACTCAAATTAACGAACTAAACAGTTGTTAAGAATCTTTCTTTTCGGTTGATTAGGTTCCATCCAAAATCATGAAAACAGTTTGTCTAAAATTTCAAAAGTACATAACAAATTAATTATTATCTCTTCTGAATCAGCACTTTTTCAAAAGTAAAAAGACGTCCTTATTCCTCACGTCACACTAATGTTTTGACCCCTCCTTTTTGTAGCAATTGGTTGTAGATTTATTGAAAGAAAATGGCCCATTGGGATAATTCATGTATAACTTTTAGGAAAATTTGTAGTTAGGACAATTCTGAGTCACTAGCTTTAAATTGTTAAATTTCATTAAATCTTAATCTGATATGATTATAATGCAATGAATTGTTCGAAACTAAACCTTATCGATAAGATATTTGAGATCATCCTTTTTCCTGTTGGATTTTCTTTACAAAATTAGAGCAGAACCTTTCTTTTCCCCACGTTTTTTTTAATCTTCTTTTTCTTTTCCCCAGAATATTGCAAATGGGTTTTGAACTATGAATGCATTCTCTTTGTGGGAATCTAAAATGGTCCTAGCTTAGGGAATATTATGCCGATAAGATAAATTTCGTGACTTTGATTTTTGAGACTAAATTGAGAAGGAGAGATGCATCTATCAACATATTAAAAAGTATTACAACATGGAAAATGATTGTTAAGAAAGTGCAAAAAAGAAGCATTAATGAAATAGCACCCCTTTTGTGAACATTGATGCCCACAATCTCATTTTTAAGCCTCAATTATGTGTGTGTGTATATACGCATATAATTATACAAACATGTATGACCTTTGCTTCTTTTGATTCCCCAAGAAGTATTACTAAATGTAGATATACTTTCAAAATCAATAAGATTACTTTAGAACCGTGAGATTCCTTTGGAATGAGAACAAATTTTGTGGATGGTCATATTGGTAAAGTTAGTGGCAAGAGTTTTAGCAGAATTTTCCATATAATAACTTACAAAAAAAAAAAAAACCTTAAGCAAAAAAAAAAAAACAGAGAGAGAGAATAGATTCATGTTCTAAGAAAGAAACATGGAGAAAGAGGACCTCTCTATGAATTTCTTTGGAATTTTTGTATAATTACAAATTGTGCCATTCTTGAAGAGAATGCTTGTATGAACAAACTAAACTAAAAATGTTGCTTTTCTTGTACACCTTATCTTTATGTGTCATCCAAAACTTAATTTAACAAATAATGTTTTTTCTAGACTTGTTTTCAAGGTATGGATCTTGCAATCCTCAAACAATGTTCTCTAATATTTTTCTCTTCTCTCTTGTTCAACAAAGAATACTTAAATGGTAATTCTTCATGACTTTTTCCCAAATTACTTCTCACATTGATAAGTATTGGGATACCTTGTTGAGTAGATATGGTGTTTGAGCTTTATTATGAGAGTAAAAATTCCATAGCATGGGATATGCATTAGAGCAACCGACAAGTACCTACAAGTTCCATGTCAATCAAAAAAAAAAAAAAACAGTCAACCCATTTGCTCAACCATATATAATAAAGCAATAATTTAGAAGAAAAAAGGTTTTTTTTTTTTTTTTTTTTGCTTGAAGATAGAAAGGATAAGGGGAAAAAAGGGTGTTAAATCAGCTTTTTGTTGACATAACTTACCATAGTGGAGCATATGAAGATGATAAGTCAAGGAATGGATATGGCCACCTGATTTTCAAATGGGAAAAAAAACCCAAAATTTCAGCTAGATATAATATGGATAATTTTATTTATTTATTTATTGTAGTGCAAATATTAGAAGGGTTGTGTATTTACCAAAGTTTTACACAAGCATGAACAATCCACAGGAAGACTACGTAAAGGACTGTCCATAGGAAGAAATATCCAATTCGGAACCATGGAAATCGCTGGAAATTAAGCAAAGATAATTGTGTCATTAACAAGAAGAACTAGAATTAATCTTAGGGTTGAGATAATTAAATAGTTATAACAGTCATCAACTAACCAAGCAATTCAAAGCGGTCTCGCCAAGCAGGAAAACAGCATTGATTGTGTGCATGTTAATAATCAGCTGCAGTAAGAAGGATTAATCATGTTTAATAACATTCTTATGCATGAATTTAGTTAAGTTTCTAGAGAGAAATTAGAAAGAGAAAGGTCACAAATAATCTTAAGTTTTTATTTTTATTTTTATGAATACTAATAATCTCAAGTGTTTTTATTTTATTTTATTTTATTTTTTATGGATACTCATAATCTTAAGTATGTTATGATAGGTGAGGCTGAATAGGGAGATGAATCACAAAGCATAAGGCATGCATCTTTATTAATTATTCCAACCATTTTACATGGTCGGTCTTTATAGGCTTAAAGTTTACAATAATAACAAAGGTTAATTTCTTTTATAGCACAAATAACATAATTTTTATTTTTTTATGTTACTACTACGTCAATAATTACAACAAATAATCATAGGATGCATATCACAACTGCCAGTAATTACTATAATTATTAAAAGAATCTAATGTGACAGTGACAAAAAAGAAAATAATCAAAGTCAATATTATCCTATATTAGAAAAAATACTTAACCCAAATGACAAATTCACCTGCTTGTTGTGATGGACTAATGCAACTTAAGATTCAACTAAGAATGGTACCATTTGGTATATAAATATGCATGGGGGTGAAATGATACTTACAAAGTTTAAGTTATAATCTTTGATGGTAAGAAATGGAACTATGATGAACCAAAAGACACAATCTGTGAGGACAACAGCACCTGCATTCATCTGTATACCATAAACATAAAAAGGGAAAATTCAACCAATTGAGATAATTAGGGAAAGTAAAACATGAAATATAAAGAAATAACAAATCTGAATTATGCTCTACTAACTGCTAATGATTTCTGAAAACAAACCTGGTAAATTACTTGGAAAAGATAACCCAAAAACCCGGCGGGTTGGCGAGTGTCGTGCCCTGCATTGGGGCCTAAGTTCTTTTCTCTGCTGGACAATACAAGAGCAGGAGTCATGTAAGTTCCTTGCCCTGCATCTATTTCCACACTATCCACCTTGTCACCACTAGCTTTCTTATGATGTCGGTAGCAACCGCGCATCGAGAGCAGTGATCCAAGCTGCGCGAAGAAATCGACGGAAGAAATCAGTAGATCGCATACATGAAGAAGAAGAAAGAGATTCAATAAAGCAGAGGATGAAACAATTGAAGCTCTAAAGACTTACCCCAAAATAAATAGTAACCAATGTGTAAGTCCACCTGCCCAAAATTCAGCTGTAAGTTTCTATTCAAGACTCATTTTTCACTGATAATCAGCCTAAATTGCATCACAAACGTTACATGTTATCATTGACCTTTGATTTCTTTAATAGCATATCCAAACACAAACACACAAATATTTGCACTTCTTTGTAACTCTTAAGAAAAAGTTTCCCTATAAAAAAATCCGGGATTTTCATATCATTGTCACACAAATGCATATAAAAAGAAAAATTAGCTACAACTTTCTCGAATTAATGAATAATGAAGCAAATAAAAGAGAGAAAAATCAAAAGGGGTTAATAATGCTTACTCAGTATAGTAATAAAAAATGGCACCTCCATCCTCAGAAGCAGTGATGATGAGAAGCACCAAGAGCACAAAGAAAGCAATCAGCCTAAAAACCAGAAGCCAAGCAGGGTGGATATTTTTCAAACATGGCTTCCATGTTTCATCTTCATACAGCACTCCTGATGATGATGTTTCTTCCTGGGCTTCTCTTCCATTACAGCGTCGTTTCGAATTTCGGAAGCCTTCAAATTTCAGCATGAGAAGGATTGCCAATGTCATTGAGAACAACACCCAAAGGGCACAAAGCAAGACCCTCCAGTTGAGCCAGTAACTCGGGGCGGTCGTGTCGCCGGTCATGATTGGCTGCCAAGAACTTCCTGATGATCCTGTTAGAAAACTCATGACTATTACTTTTTTTTTTCTTTTCAATTCTTCAGTTTTGTTTTTTTCACAAAAATGATCTGGGGTGAATTGGTATGCACTTTGCTCCAATGTATCAAAAGGTAAAGAGTGTGATTTATAGAACTTAATGGGAAAAGAGAAGGACAAAAATACAATCTTTACAGGAAAAGAATTTGTGTGACCAAAGATTGAAAGAATTGGATTAACAAGAACACATTTTTGGACTTGATTCAATATCTATATAGTAGTAACCAGAAACAAAATGGAAAGTAAAAATATTTATAATCAAATTCAATAAACCCAGAGAGGAAGAATGGGTTTTTGAAAAAAAACAAAATGATATAGCTTAAAAGTTTGTATATACAGAACTGAATCAGGATAGAAGAAGTTCTTAAGAAAATTAAAGCAAAAGAACAAGTTGGTTGCAAAAAAGTATAAATATTTTTTCAATGCTGAAATTAATGGAAACCCAATTCAAGAAATATCTGATGAGAGTAATTACACACAAATCTAGTGATGTGGGGTAAAACAGGTCACATGTAAGAGGAGGTTGATTGGGAAGGTCTAATGAGTTATGGTTTTGGTTTGGGCTTTTTTTTTTTTTTTTTTTTTTTTTTTTTAAGAGGAGATTAGGATCCAATTGAGAAGCTGAAAAACTAAGAAAACCCCATGTCTTATTTCAGTGCATTAATGCCTGAAGACTATTGTATTCCAAACTTTAAGTGGTCTTTTTCTTACAGAGAGATTAAAACCGACATTTTCCATTAAAACCCAATAAATAATTACACCTATATGGAAGAAAAAAAGAAGCAGCTAGCTAGACTCTAAGCAAAGGAAAGGTTGATACTTACAAGGGAAAGCAAAATGAAAATTATAAATGTGGTGGTGTATGAATGGAGGATAGATAGAGATGCTTTGCTTATTTTCCTTGAAGAGAAAAACTATTTAGCTATCTTCTAGAGAGAGAAAGAGGAGAGAGAGAGAGAGAGAAGAGGGAGATGATATAAATCATAAAAAAGGGATGTTATGCTTTGAGCATAAGCTTCTTTTTTTTTTTTTTTTCTTTCTTATCTTTATACCAAGAAGATCATCAAAAGACAAAGACCACAGTCCTCTCTCCAGTCTCAATCTCCAAATTTCCATGCAAATATTTTTAAATTCCCTGTGAATAAAATGGGACACATATATTGCATGCCTTTGTCACCTTTTCTTGGATAACAATCTTTTGTTATTTATATTTTTTTATATTTTTTTTTTTTTTGGGGTTTAGCTTATGTCTTTGTTTAGATATTACAAAAACACACAAAATACTAAGAGAGTGGACCAGAGAGAGAGAAGAGAAGAAAGAATAACTGTAATATTATTGTGTTTAGTTTTGGATTTTATTTGTGTTCAAGGAAGATGCTGTTTGAGTACAAGAATAGTTTTGGGGTGCCGTGAAGTGCTCCTGCCAATAAAGGAGTAAAGCGACTACCTAGCCAAAGTAATGTTTTTTTTTTTTTTCTTGAGTTTTTTTTTTTTTTTTTTTTTTTTTTTTTTTTTTTTTTTCTCTATCCTGGTAGGATCGCTCTATCATCAGTAGGGATAATTTCTAATTATTAGATTAAAGACATACAAAATAAATCATTTGTAATATAAATTCAACTATTGAAAGTAAGAAATTATAGATAGTTTATTTATTTTTTTCTCATCCTATCACATAAAACTTTTAATAGAAAATGGTTATGTTATATCATGTTATGTTTATGTGTAGGGTGGGACCCAATAATGAAAATCATGATATGGACCTTTGTCACTGTGTGACATGATTCATCAATCAACGGGGCAGATCTGGTGAAAGAAAGAAGCTGAAAAATAAAAATAAAAAAGAGAAAAAAAAATACTATTGATGTTGTGGGCTAAGAGTTAAAGAAAGAGATAATTTGAGGAATCATTTGGAAAAATAGTTGGAGGGGTACCATGTGGCTTAACATTCATTAGGTGACAAAAATTAAGAAATTTCACCTTATAATTCCACATGTTACATTGTCCCTATAGCTATTGTTTTGTAGAACGAAAGAATAGTTTGCAAATGGGAGGAAATTTAAAATGTTCATTGCCACAAAAAGAGGGCGTTTAAAACAATGATATTTAGATTTAAAGTTCAAAATTTATATTTTCAAGTCTTCTTTTTATATAAAATATATGTTTAGAATTGTCATCTTATTACTATCACAACCATGCATCATTAATATGCGTATATTTTATGTGTTAGAAAACAACAAGGCACAATATAATAGAATCAAACAATATGTAATTAATTAAATGGAATAAAAATATTCATAATTAAATTTAAAGAGAATTTTGCAATGTGTATTTAAGTACCCTTTTGCAACCATACATCATACCTTACCTTTATCAAATTCTGATAATAAAATTATTGTAATTTTTTTAATATAATTTAATCTGATGTTATGTGATCGGTTTGGTTTCGTATTTTATTCTACAAATAGATATTTTCTCATATCTGTGGAATTCTTCTAAATATAAAAGTTTTTTATACCCTTGTATACTCCATCTCTTTCCTGTCAAAATGGATTTATTCAAGCAAAAAATAATAATAATAAAGAGTTAAAGTTGTATTATTTTTTAGTAATAATATTCAACAATGATTTACTAATCAAGAAAATAATTAGAAGTTAATGGGACCCACATCTGTTCTTGATTGCCGTCTTTTTGCATGGCTGGCTTGTTAGAAAACTAATTTGGAGCGTGATTGGTCAATGGTCGTTTTTATACGTAAAAAGAAATCATCATGTTTTTCTTTTTAGCTTTCAGTTAAAGCATGAGATATTTGCTGATTGGGCTTGAAAACTGGGACCCATGCGTGACCACCCGATTGACTTGACGGTCTGTCACAACTTGCTTGACCTGCACACTCTCACACGTAAAACCTCATCCCAAAACTTCCTATGAATTTACTAAAATACCCCCAATACTAACGCGTGTTTTAAACTCCTCTTTTTTTTTTCTTTTTTTTTTCTTTTTTTTTTTCATGTACATAACAGTTGAGAGTTGAGACGCAGTAGGAGGATATAAATAATACAACTTAATCATAAACTTTTATCAATTTTTTTTAATCATTTTATTTTTCTTAACATAATTTATTTGATTTAATAGGATGATTTTATTTCTTTCTTTTTTTTTTTTTTTGTGCTGAAGAGTCGATTTAAAATTGTTTCTTATATAAGTAGATGTCCTATAATATGGTTAAATTCGCAAAGTGGGGTCCACAAACGAATTCTCTTTGGCTTAGAAAATGAAAGGGTTTGGGAAATATTACATGGAACTATAGGATGGCGTGATGAAGTAACCTACAGAGAATCACCAAAACGAGTAAAATGGCCTACTATTGTGTCAAAAAGGTTTTTGGGATAGAAATATTGCGTCAAAAAAGTTGAACATAAGAGGTCACCGACTTCAATGGCTTTATATATAATAAGCTTTGATAATATCCATATTCCGAACCAAGGGAAGAAATAGGAAAAAAAAAAAAAAACATAGAGAGAGAGAGAACGCATGGAAAAGATAAAAGAAAAAGACCCCAAAAATCTTTAGTTATTGGGAATTTATTTAGTATTTTCTCTTTTTTTAGAATATTGATGTTTCTTACGTATTAGCTGTCGTATCTGTATTATTTTTTCAATATGTTTTCACTTTTGATCAGATTTAATACAAATTTAACGACTAATAAATATGAAATACGAGTGTTTTTAAAAAAGAAGAAACACGAGAATCCCTTATTTATTTATTTTTATTTATTCATTTATCTATTTGATTTCTCCTTTGGAATACACTTGTAAAGCAGAGTGGCCAACAAGCCATATATATTTGTCATGTCCAAGTGTTGAAAAGTCGAGAAATATTACTCAACAAGGAAAATAAAAACACACAAATAACCCAATTGAGATGCTCCAATATTTGAGACTGTTGACAAACTTGGAAAGCAAGATATAACACACAAACTTTTCCAATACGCCACAAGTCAATTACTTGGGGTTGTGGTAAACTTGGCTTGCCAAGTTATGGATGCAAAATCTCTTCCGAGAGTTTACAGGTCAACTCATAGTATGTTTTGTTTGTTTAGTTCCAATTAAATTGAATTTAGTTGGCTGAGAAAAGTTTAATATTGCCTACATTAAACATATTATTTTAGGTTTAAAAAAACTGCTACAGTACTGTCTTATTTTTAAATTTTAACCATTAAGGCCTCGTTCACTTCGCGGATTCGAGTTTTTAATTCGAGTTGAGATGTGACATTTTCTGAGAGCTTTTCACTATAACAGAAAAAGTTGATGTGGCATTTTCTGAGAGCTTTTTACTGTAAAAACTTAAAACTGAAAACTCGAATCGATGAAATGAACGAGGCCTAAATCTTCATTAGATTCTGTAATGTTATTCTAGCTAATATATTTTTAATGTAACCTTATGGTCTAAAACTATGTTAAATTTTTTTTATAATACCTATCGTAGACTTCTTCTATATATTATTCAACTAAATTAATTAAAAAAAAAAAGATTCTCCTAGAAAGTGCATAGCTACAAGAACCAAGAAAAAAGGACGTATCCATGTCTGTTTATTTGCTTTAAATCTGAAAATTATTTAAAAAAAAGAATACTAAAAATCAATGTAATGGGGCATGAAGATCAATGGAAGGGATAAGTTAATGGATGGGAAAATGAATATCACTTTTCCTTCTTAATTATGATCATGTAAATGCTTTTTTTGTCTTGTACGGTAGTAGTTGGACAACAACAAAAGTATGAACAACCAATATATGAAGGAAATCCCAACCATAAAGATCTCTTAAGTTAAAACTAAAACCCGTTAGGTAGGATTCCAAAGGCTGATCATAAGTTCATAACACACCTTTTTCAGCACAAAAAAAATAATAAAAAATGTTTATAACACACTTTTTGGTCACTTGATTTTGAAGGAACAGTGAAGTGGGTTTCTCATGTTTCGCAAACATAATCAATTAACTGAAAAAAAAAAGAAGAAAAAGAAAATTCTACCCCATTTTAAATGCATACACAATTCCATTATTCTTAATGCTCATTGCATTTATTGCATGCAAAAACTAATTTGTTATGACATTTTTGACGTGCATACATATCAAATGTATTTGGAAAGTATATATACTCCTAATTTTTACAAATATATCGTCAAAATGCTATTATTAGGTATATGTACCCTTTTTTTTTTCAATCCACATTCTGATTTTTTAGTAAG